TTACTGCTTTTTCCTTTCAGCCATGTCTATGGTGATAATTGGATTAAAAGAGCGGACAGGAAGTGAAGCACAACCAGTGTGCTCAGAAAATTGGTAGTTGGAATCTGTGGATAAAGAGGTGATAGCTAACAAAGGGATCAGTTCCACCAAGAAGAACCTGTGTCCTTTTCTTGGGGGGTACAACAAAGATGGCTCAGGTCCTGGGACAGATCCAATCTGCTACAGGGTGCAAACACGTCAGTTCTTGACAGGGGCTGCCTTTCAAAGAGTTTTTTTGCATTCCACACTCAGGTATTCAGAAACTGACACAGCCTTATCCACAAGTGGGACTAGGGTGATGTTCACATTGTCAAAAGGTTTTGACATTAACTCCATGATGTTGGCTTTGAAAATGTGAAAGATGCCAGAGCTGTGGGCATCATGGAGGCTTTCACACAGAATTCAAAGCAAGGTCTTGGAGCCTAACCCATGACAGGGCTTTTGCCCATGTAGACTGCCTTTAATATAGATGTGCATATAGCAGCAAGGTGAACCTTATATGGCCATGGTGACTTCAGGAAGTTAGCAACACCAGAAATGGAATGCCTTCCACAGATGATGAAAGTAAACAGGTGCATAGCCAGCGGAAGTGCCACACATTCTCCAAGCTCAGTGACTCTGAGGAAGAGCTGTCTGTGACCACCAGGGTTCTCATTATCACACCATGCACTTCAGGTGCTGGACACAGAATTAAAAGACCACTGTTTTCCCTGCTGGGTCCAAATATAGCTTTGTATTAATCCTTCTTTGTTGTTCTCCTGCCTATATCATTTGAAGTACCTGCTCTGTGACAAACTTATAATTACAATTTGTTGTATAGGAATTCACAACTAAGACACTTCTTTAAGTATTACAGATGATTTTGGACTCTGTTATTATTGCTATGATGAAACACCGTGACAAAAAGCAAGTTTGGAGAAAAGGGTTATTTGCTTATAGTTATACATCACAAACCATCTTTGGAGGAAGTCTGGGCAGGAACCCAAACAGGGCAGTAACCTGGAAGCAGGAGCTGATACAGAGGCCGTGGTAGACTGCTACTTACTGGCTTGTTCATCATGGCTTGCTTAGCCTGATTTCTTACAGCATGTAGGACCACCAGCCCAGGGGTGTCTCTACCACAATGAGCTGGACCCTCACCCATTGATCACTAATTAAGAAAATGTCCTACAGGATTGACTGCTTACAGCCCAATTTTCGGGAAGCATTTTCTCAATTTCGGTTCACTTCTCTCAACTATAGCTTGTGCCAAATTGACATAAAACTAGGCAGCACAGAGTCCAACTTTTGAACAATTAAAAAATGTTTTAATTGTTAAGACAATGGGATCTTTAAAGCCTGGTCTTTGCAACACAGGTAGATGTGAACCAGGGTGGAGGTGGGGTGGAGGTCATGATTTGAAAGTGATGTGTTTGAGTCACAAGCTGACAGAATGGACTTAGGATACTTCATCTCATTGTCATTTAGTTAGACTGAGCATGCCTAGAGTAGTTAGCACACACTGGCGTTGATGCGTCTTCTGGCTACTTCCTGTGAAGATGAGCTCAGAAAGCACTGACCTCATGAAAGATCAATCGTCTGACAATAAAGATGGCACTATTGGGGCTGCCTGAAGATGGGAGGCAGGTTATGGCTGGAGGAAACAGGGCTCCCAGTATGTCCTGAGGGAGTACATCCTTCCTTGCCCCACCCCTTACTCAGCTTCTCTGCTTTCTGACCTCTATGATGCATCAAATGCTTCTCACCATGACAGAATGATGCCTCTGAAAAATGAAATTCCATAAACAGTCACGTAGAGTTGAATATCTGTGAGTGTCACTTTGCAGTATGCACAATCTTTGTGTAACAGGGGAGAAGGTAGTTGTTTAGGTGATTGCTGAGTTCATTCCTTCACACAGAGAACTGAAATGCCATGAAAAGAAGAGACAGCAGAAAGAACAAAGAGGGGGAAGAGGCCTAAGGTCGCAAGTCCCTCAAATGGGTTGTCCTGGCTTGGGTGTTTTACAGGGTCCCTGGGTCTTCCCTTTCTCCTTGGTTGGCCCTGTTTATGTCCCTGCCCTGCATGGGAACAAGAAGCCACCATTGTAGGAGCCTGCTTTCACTTTCCTAAGATATTCCAGCACCCCTTTATTTAGATATTTTTAAATGTGAAAAGTAGAAAATATAAAGTCATATTTCCAAATGAGCATCATTTAGATTTCCCATTTCCCATCATCCAGGATTAACACTGGGACCTCTGACTTGTAGCCAGTACTTCATCCCCATGAGTTTTTATTCTTAGTTAGCATTGTTTCATGGGGTTAGCAAATCCACATTATTAGTGATTTCAATTTATCAGCACCATATTGTAGATAAACAATGAAAAAGTAATTTTTTTATTGAACATATTTGCTATTCTTCTATATTAATATCAAGTATAACATATCACATTCTTTGAATTTCATAAACATAACTCAAGTGGCTTGAGTAGTTTTTCAACTCAGAAACTAGTAGTAAGACAATTGCCTACTTTGTTGGGGCAAATTCAAGATTAGAATACAGGTATGCTGACTTTTCATTCTTCTCTATTGTTCAGTTGCTTAGATAAATAATTTACAGGCATCAACAGTTCCAACAAATTCCCTCCACATATTTCCTGTGTTTATGAGAACCTCTTTGTTAATCTGCTCTCTAAAATAATGGTAAAATCAAGATCCCCTAACTACAAGGCTACACAGTGAAGATGTGCTTTGTTGACAGATGTGTGACAGAGGCAGTGGATGCATTCTTGCCTTAGTTGCTCAATCTTTTTATCATGGTGAATGAAGGATCAGCAAACCATTTGACAAGGAGCACATCCTTCTAAATTAGCCAGATAAGTCCAAGAGTCTATACATATCCATTTATTTTTACTCACTGAGAAGAAATGTAACTTAAGTAGGATTAACGTTTTTTATGGCATTTATTTAGTTCTTGAGTTGACTGACAAGCCTATTAATGTATTCCATGAGCTTTATTAATGTAATTGGAAAATGGCCCACATGCCAGTCAACATATAATAAGTAATTATGTTCATAAATACTGTAAAATTATTAGCTTTTAATTTGATCTCATGAAATACCTTCAAAACAGTTGCATGGGTTTTCTATTTCTAAAGAAACAAAATATCGTGAGAAGCTCTCAGCAAGAGCATTCTTAGCTGCTCAGAAATTCATGATCATCAAATGACCTTCAGAAACCAGTACCATCTGAGAAGGCATGCGATCTCTTTAAAATGCCTGACACTGTAAAGCAGCCTGTGCAGTGAAGCTGAAAACAAACAATTGCTGAACAGGTGCTAGGAAAGGGCATGTTTCCCATTGTCCAGTTTACACGTATAGTTGCAACATGGCGCTGAGAGAATGAAAGCGGGATGCTTTCATGTTGAGAAATACAGGGTGGAAACCTACAGGCTGCAAAGGACAGGCCAATGACACATCATGGCTGGTTCATACACTGTCATCTAAATGCTTCTTCTCAGATTAAAAGAAGCTTGTCACTTTTTTTTTTTTTTTTTTTTTTTTTGCTTTTTCCTGAAAATTCAGATAGAAAGGCAAAGAGGGGAAAGATTAGGAACAGACCAGAGATGAGAAGTGTCTACTTTAAGTTTCTTGTCTGCTTTGAAGCCAGAACAAAGCCTGCCCCCAGATTCCCTGGATATCTCCATGAGCATATGGGCTGGACTGTAGGTTGGTGGGAAAGCAGTTGCTGGAACACTGACCACCCTGCCTCACAAAAACAGGCAGAATCTTGTGAAAAGCTGATTTTGAAGAGCAATTATCACTTCAATCTATACTAGTGATTTGCTTTTCATTGTAAACTCTCTTCTTAAAGCAAATTGTGTAATTAAGGAGTTTAAGTTCATCAGGACTGAACTATTTAAAAGGTATCTTTGCACTGATATTCTTATGCTATATGAGGGAACAGAGACCAGTTTGAAAGGTTACAGGTGAATGCTGTTGTAGAGTTAACCCATAACAAAATCCAAATCTATCCTGGACCCACAGAGAGAGATATTTGAAGACAGCAACACTGAGTTTTCCACTCAGCAACACCAGGTACTAAGTGCCCATAACTGGCCATGTTATCATTTGTTTTGTTACTAATTTTACTTGTGATTATCACACCAATGTTTTGAGATTCAGAGAGCAAAAGATTTTTATGCAGACAACACATATAAGTTTATAGGACAAATACATTATGTTAGGGGCCAAAATATGCATTTTTCACCCTCCACAGATTATGGTCACATTTTCTTGATGGGTCCTTGCATTGGCAGAACCTGGCTCTTACAGTTAAGTATGAAGGTGGACACATGTGATTTTACAGATTATTAGTTGAGTATCATCGTTATTGCTGAAGTCCAATCAGACATAAGACACTGTGAGATATCTTCTAATACCCTGTATTAATATTTAACTTGAGTTATTCTAGAAGGCTATATACTTTTCTTTGTCACTCAAATGCAAGCAGAGAGGCAATGTGTAGGCAGGTTGGTGGAGGTGGCTTTTAGAGTTACTACCCACAATTCACAAGGCTTTTACTTTTCAACTTATCTGCTCCGGGGCTTTTAAGTATTTATTTTAATGTATCAATTATGGATTCTCCAAGATTTATTTCAGAGATGACTCAAGGGAAGATATGAAATACATCATATAGGAAAAAACATAATGTGGTGTTAATGGCCACTACTTGTTCTTGTAAGTGGGGATTCCTGGACCTAAATAGTCATTACCCTTTAATGGAACCTAGACAATAATTCAGAGAATAATGACAACAGATTCTTGAATATTGGTAGCCGCTTCTGAGTCATCTCAATACCAATGTTAAATATTTCACACACAAAGCTTCACAAGGTAGCTCTTCTGGAACAAGGGCCTTTGGGCATGTCAGTATTTCATTTCAAGCTCACACTTCCCAGCAGCTCGCCAGGGAACACTGACCTTGTACGGTGAGGTGGACCTGCATCGTCCTCGGTGTGTGTTGGGTCTGCACAGAACAGGTGTACGGGCCATCGTCCGTCACATCGACATTCTGGATCTGGAGACTGTAATCTCTTTTATTCAATGTGGAAATAGAAACGCGGGGGTCCACTGACCACTTGTCACCTCCAGCAAAAATGATACTTGATCTGTTGAGCCAGGCACCCTTTGAGGCTCCGTCCTCCAAGTAACACCTAGAAATCAAGGGAGCGAGAAAGGGAGGAAGCAAGGGAGAGGAAGAGGACAGGAGGGAGTGTGGGAAGAGGAAAAGAAAGAAAGAGATACTGTTACTCAAAATGAGAACGGACAATGTCATCTTTGTTATGTGTGCCCTTTCCACATAGTAAATGCAGAAGAACATCACATGTAATGTCATATATTAAGGAGACTTGAAGCAACTAATGGGTTGCATGTTTGATGCAGTATGCACTGTGACCTAGTGAAATTCATCATGTTTCCAAACTTAGTTGTGTGTGTGTGTGTGTGTGTGTGTGTGTGTGTGTGTGTGTCTGTGCTGCTTCAGTTCAGAGCCAAACTCTTCCCATTCTCTCTGGGTATATAATGATTACTAAATAAAAGTAATGGCCACACAACACTTTTCTACATGAAATCACATTTCTTTGACACTCTGGAAAGTAGAAGAGGTCTGAGTGAGACAGCTTTGAACTGGTTCTGCTCTGAATAAAATGTACTAGCGATAGCAAGCATTAGAGCAACATGTAGCTCATAATTCTAAGAAAATCTGCCAAGTAACAAACTTGTAAAAATCCACCATGACCCTCTATTTACAAGATATAAGCTACTTTTACCAAACAGCTGCTGTCATCAGTGTAAGGCTGACACTAAACTTTTAGTAACAAAATGTGTTATATTTTCAATAAAGTGTCCACTAGTTGTTTTTTGTTTTGTTTTGTTTTGTTTTGTTTTGTTTGTTTTGTTTTGTTTTTCTCCTAGGAGGTATTCATTTATGGACAAACTGCTCTAATGGCTGGCTGGAAATTTGCATGGTCCTTGTTCTCTAGATGTTGTTGTCTAGAGACAAAGACAGGCCAGCAGGAGAGGATGGATCTATGAAATCAGATGCAGGTGCATGAGAACATAGGGCTCTCCAGCCCAGAGAGAGTGTCAAGGCTGGAAATGGCAAGATTTTCTGCAAGATGAGCTATCTGAGATGCACAAAGGTGTGTGGAAGTCATGGTACCATAGATGCTACTCTGTGGGTCTTAAGGTGAAAGAGCCAGCTGCACAGAAGTGCAAATAAGCAAGATGTGTGGTATAGAAGAGATAAACAATAGGGCAGTGGAGATCAATGGGAGCAGGCTTGATAACAGTTAGTGTATCATAAGGTGAAACCTGAAGCCAGTTGTTCAAAGTCAGATTCTAGAACAAGATTCAGAAACACAGTCCTATACTCAATAGAAGAAGCAGGATGATCCAGAAGCAGAAGGGCCAGGACATATGCCAGTGATTTTGCTGAGGCCTGAAAGTCAACATTTCATTTTGAAACAAAAAAAGTTGTGTTACAAATTAAAAAGTAGTTTTCTTAAATGAGTAGAAAGCATGGCCACAGAAAGAGAATGCAAAGATCTCAATAGTCTGAGAGCATTTCCACAGAACACCTTGGGGAACTGCACACAGCATATAAGATTGCTTCAAAATTGCAAGTTGGAGGCAAGTGGCAATCTCTACGAAGTTTATGAAACTAATCAGAGAGTGAACAAGGAACAAGGTTCCAGAAGAATTTAATTTGCAGACAGCTTCCCCATCTACAGACTCCAAAAGCAGTGGGGGCTATAAAGGTCATTTTTTAATTGAAAAGCTTTTCCTTGTGTATTCAATGAAGAAAATAAAACCTCTTTAATGCTAGAATCGAACAATTGCAGTATATTACTAATTCTTAATAATGTACAGAAAGAATACAGAGTGGACATATTTCTCATTCAACAAGATCATACCCATGCTGGTTTCAGGTTGAATGCTCTATGATTATTATGTGGGTCCCTCAAGCATTCCTTATGTGATCTCTACATTTCTGGTATTTACATAGTAAGGAGCTTATCCCAGACCTGGAGGCTATGACTTGCTACACCCTTTATCCCCAGAAAATAAATCAGGGTGTGTACATTAAATGACTTCCCCAAGACACTCCATTGGTGGGTGGAAGGATTGCATTTGCAATCAAGTCCTTTTTATCCCCATCTGACACCCTTTCCACAGTGATGCAGATCAAAGGCTTTTAAAAATGGGTTTCAGAAAGGGGAAGATGATTAGAATGTTGCAGATGTTACAGCGAGTAATTTCTTATTTACTGAATGTGACCGATTGCTTAACCTGTCCATTCTAAAGGAAGCAGAAAATCAATTATGGATGGGTATTTTGCCATGAAAGTTTCATTTGGTGACTCTGCTGGGCAGTTCCCTTTCTCTAGAGACAGGTGAAGCCTTGCTTGCAACTGAGATCAAGAGCACTCCCCAGATCAGCTGGCACACCCAGCCATAAACCCTGTCCACAGTTCTAGAGCAGCAGAGGCCAGCACAAAAGACCTGACTGGCCTTTGCCAAGAAGAACATGGAAATATAAGTACTCTGCTGTGTGTCTGTGGCTTGAAGAGTAACAGGCCACAGCTGCCATTGGCTCCAACCCAACAGTCTTCAGGGCACTGTTGAGTAAGACAAAAATATGGCTTTTTAATCAGTTCCTTGACTTTCTACACCTTTCTTCTCAACTACATGTCACAGAACCACAGCAACTAAAATCACTCTATATGGAATTTTACAAATTGAGGGTAAGCAGGCTTAGGTACATCAGGGAGCCTTCTAAAGTCACAGGATGTGGGTAATGAATACATGAAGGTCAAGGCAATGACTGCAGGAAATGCATTAAACAGGACAAGTCCACACTCACACTTGTGTGTGTGCACGCAGGTTGTTATTTTTAGCATCATATTATATGGAATCTGGTAATAACCATGTTTCCTGGTTTTCCAGGTCATTCTTTCTTGTGTTCCTTTCCCACAAAAGCATCCTTCCTTACAGCATAATAGTTAGTTGATGTGTTGGAAATTCTCTAAGGAGCAAAAGTAGGCTGGGTATGGTAGGAAGAGAGTGAGAGCACATGAGGGACTGTAATAAATACTTGTGTTTCTTATCTTTAGGTACTAAAACCTTTTTGTATTGTTGCTACTTTGTTTTATGATTCATGGGCTCCACAAATAAAAATCTCCAAAAAAAAAAAAAATCTGATCTATATAAGACTCACAATGTGACTAGCATAACATATCCTGAGTTGCCCAGAACAGGAAGTAGAAAATATTCTGATTTGTACAGTCCTGACCCCAACACCTGCAGCCAGATTCCTTCTGCCTAAAAGGCAGGGGAAATCTTTACTATCTAAATCAGGTCAAGTCAAGCCCTCTTATTTAATTTTAAAGAAAGCCACGATTCCCAGTGGTCTCTAACACGTCCTATGTAGTGAGGTCTCTCACGTATTTCTGACCTTGCTTGCTGTGCTGACTGTTCATTTGTGGCTGTTCTCAGCCATCACGGAGCACCTGCCTCAGGGAGATTGCACGCGTTGCTTATGCCACAGGACGTCTCCTCCCCTGGCATTCTCCCTTGCTAGTTCTACATTTCTCTAGTGTTATCACTAAATTATTTAAGGTACATATCGACTGTATTACCCACCACACCACTAATCCTAGCATCCTCAATGGAAATACTGTTTACTTGACTGAGTAAGCAGTGAGAATTTTGAAGTAGCAGGGAATATAAGCCTCTGCGTGGTATTTGGTGTGCCACTAAACACAGCCTCTGCTGACAAGTATATTTTTGTGCCATCTTTCTTCATAGCCTGACAAAGCCAGGTTTTCTTTTAAATAAAACTTTTTTTTTTTAGAAAAGACATTCTATACTTACCAAAATATATATTCATTATAGAGCATTTTATTTAGATAATTTGTCTACGATAACAAACATCTGGATATTGGAAAATGGAAAAAGACTACTTGTTATAGTTCACTTTGCCTCAGTTCTTAGTTGCACAAACCCAGGTTGAAGAAGGCAATGCCTCCTTCCTCTGACCTGTTTAGCAAGGTTCCTTGAAGCTCACGCTAAGATGGAAAGCTCCAGGCTGGGTATGGAGTCTCAGCAGATCCCACCGGTGTAGCAATTCTAGCAGATTGTGCTGTAGACACCGGCCCTGTGGGGTTCAAATCCTGACACCAAACATCAGGGAGCTCAGTGGAAATTGATTTACTATGCTGTTTATTGCTTTCTAACATTCTGCTGGGGAAAAATCCTGCAGTTGCTGAAGAACAACTCTGTTGTGATGAGGTTTCCCATCATAGGATCCTGTCCAGGAAGGCTGACCAGCTCTGTGAAGACAGGTCAGTTTCCTCACAATGTGCTGATTAATGAAAGCATCTATCAAAGACACTAATTAATGAAAAGAGGAAGGAACAAGCTCAGTGAAAATGACTTTCTAAGGAAAGGGTATACCAGTTAACTATGCTGCTCGCTTCACTGTCCCACAAAATGCCTGCCACCTAAGTATACCCATGTGTCTGCATCACAAAGTCGAATGCGTCAGATGATTTTTAAAGACAACCCAAAACTTTAAGAACCCTATACAATCTTCATGGTAACTATTCTCACACGTAATTATATTTTAATTAAAACTAAAATAAATTAATGAAAAAGAATGTCTTGATACTCTGACAACTAGGTCAAATTGAAGTAAGAGAAGAGGAAAATGAAATAAAATAAATTATAATCTCTCCTATTTGTCTCTGTTTTAAAGGTACACTCTTCTTAATGTCTTTCAAAATACCTTATATATATGTGCATGTAAATTTATATATATTTGTCTGTGTCTATCATCTATCTACATAGAATTTACCTCTCAATTATCTAGAATGCAATATATATACAATAAAATCACTGTGTCACAGGATTGGTTGTGTCACATGATTGCATTCTGAGTTTTCTACATGTGCTGTCAGACATCAGCAAGAATATTATATATATATATATATGTATATATATATATATATACATATATATATATATATATATATATACATATATATATATATTTTTTTTCATTCAGACCTGACAAGTCTTTGAGAGGTATGGCTAAACATTACCATTATGTCCATTTACAACACGGAAAATCATCACAGAGCAAGGAAGTAGCT